ACTAATGGGTTTTTGCTTGTCACGAATTTCGTGACAATGGAACTAATGGGTTTTTGCTTGTCACAGATTTCGTGACAATGAAACTAATGGGTTTTTGCTTGTCACGGATTTCGTGACAATGGAACTAATGGGTTTTTGCTTGTCACAGATTTCGTGACAATGAAACTAATGGGTTTTTGCTTGTCACAGATTTTGTGACAATGGAACTAATGGGTTTTTGCTTGTCATGGATTTCGTGACAATGGAACTAATGGGTTTTTGCTTGTCACGGGTTTCGTGACAATGGCAGTATGGCACTGATGGGTTTTTAACTTTGTGACAATGGTGCAAATAAAAACATACTTGTACAGTACAGCATGTACATGTACATAAAACTTTGTAGCAACATGTGAGAGCAATACATTTAACTCAATGTTACATACACATATCAGTCATAATTATACTAGTGATTATACTATTGACATGCGTGTCACTAATAAATGTGTGGTATTAATTTTGGCATTAAATAAAAATATTAAAGGATTAAAACTAGTCCAACTGACCTTAAAGTGATTATATTGAGTGAGTTCAGACGCAAGAAAGGCGGAGCAATATCTTGAAAAGCAGCCTGACCACCAGAATCGATACAGAATGTCCAGTGAACTTGATAATCTTCTTCAGAGCAGGACTCTGTTGATACTTGTGATATGATATCATAATGAACCGAATGAGTGGGTAGAGGTGAATCAGGCAGAGGAGAAGAAGCATCAGAACTTTCCAATGAGGCACGACTAAATAAAGACGTAAAGGCTCTTTGAAAAGAAGAGAAATGAGAAGCAGTAGGAGTAGGAGGAGGAGGGGTAGAGGGGGGATATGTTGATGAACGCTGCTTGGAGCTCGGTGTGTCTTCCTTTCCTTTCAGTCTCTTAGCTAAGTGGGTGATGAACTCTTCCTCGCTGACTCTCTTCATTGAGTGTGAGCTGTCTGTCTCCATGTATCCACAGGTGGATCCTCTTACAGCTGGTGTCACTACACCAGTGCTTGATCTTTGGAGAGGAGGAGGCTCGTTTAGTATGAGATGCTGGAGACACGTCTTTCCACTGCCTGGTGCTCCATGAATTGACATACGTGTGATCTTTAATGTGATTTTAATGTCTGTCGTAAGAGCCTTCCTTAGCTGGGACTCTGAATCATCTGTTGAAAAAGAATCAGTTCAAATAAAGACACAAGGATATCTGCTTTAATATCATAATGTATATGAGCTGGAAATGGTCATGCATCAGGTCAAAATTGGCAAGGAAGTAATAATGGAAAATTGGGAGCATTGACATTTGCTCCAAAATACATGTGCATGGCCAATGTAAAACTACCAATTGCCAATTAAACAAAGACAACAATAAACATTAAAATCACATAAAAATTAATATTTTGTGTTTACCTAAACTTGAGAGATACTGGATTAAATGTTCGTGTTTTTCTTGTTTTGCAACATCTAAAGCAGTCAGTCCGTCCTATATATTCAACAAAAAACAAAAAATATCCAATATGAAGATGTATAGCATCATTCAAAAGAAGAAAGTGTACTACAATAATTTTAAATCTCATATAGTACCTTATTGACAACCTTCCAACTAGCTCCTCTGCTAACAAGTAACTTTACAATATCAAGCCTTCCTGCATTAGTAGCAATCATTAGTACAGTAGATTTACTTTTCTAATAGTAGAAAGAGTGTGAGAGAGAGAGACAGTGAGAGGATAAAGGAACACAATAATAAATGTTCAAACTAGAACTAAGAATAAAGGAGAAAGGATTAAAACGAGAGCCTACACGTACCTTTGTTAGAAGATTAAAATCAGCTTTATAATCAAGAAGAACTTCCATTGCTGTGATGTGTCCAAAAATAGCACTCCAAAATAAAGCTGATCTATTATCCTACATAACATGTAAATTATGTAAAAAAGATATGAAAAATCACATTTTAACTAGATTAGTTTTTACAATATTAAACTAAACTTCAGATTCTCTTGATTCAATATGGCATATACTATTATTGTCAATTACTTCATTAACAGCATCAACATTAGCACCAGAACTCAACAGTAGTCTGACAACCTCCGTCCTGTTACTATAGGCAGCAATAGACAATGGAGAATGACCACCCTGAAATAAAAATAATAGAGAAAAGTACATGCAATTGCTATGTAAAGCAGGAATCTGTGTGGGAATAAAAGTCTGTTTCAATTATAAGACTGGGGGCTACGTACATTAAGGAAATATAATCCTGTATAAAGTATAGGAGGTCCCTCCAATAGAAGCCTGTGTACCAATTAAAGATAAGAAATAGAAGCCCAAGGAATTATATATAAAGCATATCACACTGACATATGATGCCACAATAGAGCAGCAAATGAAATAATATCCCTCCAAGTTACACATCTGTTTGGCACACTCTATTTTTAAATTTTTGGACTACCCTGGAAGTGAAAGCATTCCTATAGCAGCTCATGGGTATTAAGTGAGGTATTAAGCTGCTATACATGTACTGTACCTGTACAATACTGTATCAGTCTGTATGTGTTTAAAGCTGCCATAGGAGTGGTATCTTACGGTAATTCTTACCTGTCCTTTCCATTCAATATTAGCACCATCTTTTATCAGTTGATTGGCTCTCTCTACGTCTGTACGTCACCATCTAAACAGGCAAACCAAAGCTGTGAATCCTATTAAAACAAGAAAAACAAATCAAATAAGAGAGGATTTACTGACCAAATCTGAACCATTAGCCCCAGCATTAGCCATTATGAAGTTTTCATCTTTTCATGGTTTACTATAGGTTTTACATCTTTAAATTTCCTAATTTTCCTTCAATTCCTGGGCTTAATAGTGGGGATCTCAGGAATAGCCCAAAAGAGGGCGTAGGCCCCTCGTCTAGTTATACGGGAGTGCACTGAATCCTAACATTACAACCACGTGGAGTCACGTGAAAAGTGGTCTTTTCTTTCATCATAATCATCATGAATTCATGATCACTACCACTGTCAGTGTCATCGCCGACGACATAACCACTTCCTCTTGGTCCCAGTGTCCTCCACAGAGCAATGGCTCCAGGTAGGTTACTTTGGTACAGGATTATTGCATGTCATTCTATTTGGGCCAATGTAGCTACATGAAGTATACAATTGCTGCTTAGAATCCTTTACCAAATCAGAATGATTCTCATTACAGATCAGATTTAATTTTAGACTATAAAGCTATACTAAATTAACCAATCGAGATATGAATTTAAAATTTATTATAGACTAGATATAAAAATTGCAATAATAACTCAGTTGTCTACCAGTGATAATTATGTCTCTTTAAAATTAGTTAAACTAATTTGGTGCTACCTGCACCTTTCTGTTGGTAAGGTTCCTGGTACACATCACTTGTTCTAGATAACACGGAACCTCCTTGACTCACTTCTTCTACTGGCTTTGAGTAGGATTGATACTGTTTAGGAGAAGGAGCAGTAGAGTGAGAAGGAGAGGCAGTAGAAGTTGTACATGTAGTAGGTATAGCTGATTGAGAAGAAGCTTCTTCATCAGGCGGTTCATTATACTGCTGAGCAGGTTTGATTGGATGCTTCTCTCCAATACGCTTGGCTAATCTTGGATGACCTACTGATATAGCACACAAAGCAAGGCAGAGGCTCCTCCATGAGGGATGGTCATTGGTCATCATCCATTTCTTGATTATTTCTTTGCGACACTCCTCAACAATTTGATTGTATGATCTCTTTACATCATCTATGCTTGATGGATTAAGTTGTAACGCTAGTCCCAGATCCTCCCAGTTAGAAACATGATGAATAGCTTCTATGACACTCCGGTAGTCTGGTCCAGTGTAATCTATACACAATGGGATACATCGTGAATGTAATAATACTATAGTAATACTCACAGTTAAGAGGTGAGTTATCAACTGATTGTAGCCAATCAACCTCCACTTGCACTTTCTTCTTTGGTATTTGAACATCATTACCTAATAGCACATTGGAAGATAAAAATTATTTATAAATGAATAGAGTAGCTATTTATATTAGACTACACAAACTTACTATTATCGAACCAGTAAGATTGCCTCGAAGACAATTTCTCATATTTAGAGCGGCAGTAAATAAACACATCACGAGTGAAATGAATGTGATCACAACCTCCTGAGTAGAATCCAGTTTTTAAATCCCCAAGAGACTCCTGGTGATAACGGCAAGACTTGGCTGCTTTTTCCAATCCAGTGGATACCAGAGAAAGTACCTCAGGACAGAGATTAGGAGGACCAGTGAAGAAAGCCTCAATAAAGCAAATTCTATCGAGCAACACTAGCCAACCACCTTTACTATACTCCAATCCAATGGCGTTACGGCGTTGT